ATATATATATATATATATATATATATATATTTATTTCATACATATCTAACTAATAAATAATAAATTTATTTTTATTTAAAATAATTTTTATCATTTATAATTTAAATTATTAGCAATTAATAATTTTTATATTTTTATTTTATTTTCAATTAAAAAAAATAGTTTTAATTTTATTATTTTACTTTTATAAAGTATTTTAATTATTTAATAAATTTTTAATTATTTATATATATTAATTTATATTTAATTTTTTTATATTATTTTTTTTTATTAATTATATTAAATATAATTTTCTTATTTATTAAAAATAAAAACATTAAAATATTATAATATTTAAATTAACAAATTAATTCATATACATATATAACTATAAATTATGTTTTTAAAATAATAATATTTCATAAAAATAAATTTAATAGCTTTAATATATATAATAAACTGACAATATATTATAACTAAAATAAAAAAAATGTTTAAAAAAATTAACTAAATAATAAGTCCATAAATAAAAGATTATAATTAATCTCAAAAAAACACTAGTTTAAAACTAGAAAGTATAAACAAAACAAATCCAAACATAAATAATATATAAATCGATATAAATTAATAAAAATACGAAAAAATTAAAAAACCCTCTCAAAAATTATTTAAAACAGAAGAAAACATAAAAAATCCAAATGTTTTTTTTTTCCCCACTAATAAAATTAGCAATATGAAAAAAGACAGTTGTATTTTTTAAAAAAGAATTTCTTCCTAATCATCTTATGATAATTTAAGTTCTGCGAAAGCCCCGGAAATCAATATAAATTAAGATTTATATGTATCAAAGATAACTTTCGATTAATTAAAAGAAGATAATATAAAGTTTTAAAAAAGTAAAAATACTATATATATATATATATATATATATATATATATATTTATACATATATATAATTAATATAGATTTCGAATAAATAAGAAATTAAATTAATAATTTTATTGATTTATATCAATAACTATCCATTAATAATACTAATACTTTAGATTATAATTAAAATTATAAAAAGACTTTTGAAATAATAAATAACTTAATATTTTAATTAAATGAAATGACGAAAAATGAAATATAATTATCACTAAAATAATCAACTATACAGGAAAAAGACAATTTAATATTGAAACTATAAAAATAAAATGAAATACTATAGTCTAAAATATTTAATTTTAAACTTTAATAATAGAATTATTTATAATAAAATAAATAATTCTAAAATTCAGCAAATAAAAACTAGGTTTTATTAAATTAATAAAAATAAATACATGAAAATGATCAAAAACAAATTTAATAATTAGAATAAAAACTACAGTTTATTCTAGATACAAATTTTGCTGAAAATACATCCGAATTATCCCAAGCCTAGTATATTAAAAAATTAAGATTAAGCTATAATGATTTAGTCAAGGAAAACGAAAAATTAAAAAAGGAAAACAATCAACTTAATATAGAAATAAAAAAATCTAATTTCAATAATAATAAATTATAATAAAAATTAGCAAATCTTAATTATAAATTAGAAAATATCAAAAAAAAAATATCCGCAGAAGATCTTGAAATACTTATGAAAGATGATAAATAAATAGAAACTAAAGAAATAATTTATTAAGATTCAACTAATTTATTAAAAAGATTATAAATACCATAAGATGCAGATTTTAGAATTAAAAATCTAAAATTTGAATATAGTGAAATAATAGTAAATAAAAATAATTAATAAAAAAAATATAAATAAAAAAAATTAAATAAATATAAATATAAAATAAAAATAAATAAGTATAAATATATATAAAAAAAATAATATAGAAAAAAAATAATAAACAAAAATAAATATCTATAATAAGAATAATAATGATAATTATATATCAAAATTTAAATAAATATGAAAATAGAAATATAAAAAATATTTATATATATATATATATATATATATATTTATATATAATTATTTATTATAAAAACACGATAATTCTAAATATGTCACATACATTTTATAACATAAAAATAATAATATTAATTTTATATATTATTTATAAATATATTTTTATATATTTTTTTTATTAAATATAAAAAAAACATTATATATTAATAATAAATAAAATTCACATATATTTATTTATAATTAATATAAAAATGTGTATATCAATATAATGCCTTATTAATATATAAAAATACACACACGTGTATTAAAATATATTTATATACATAAAAATAGTCTGATCTTTTAGAATAAGGTTCTCAAAACTTCAGTTTAAAAATACTAAAAATAAAAAATAGTAACTTAAAATAAAAATATATCTCTCTGATCTCGAATTAATTTATATCTTATCGCGAATTTTTCAATCGAACTTTATAATTAATATATGAGCTTCATATATTGACCTAAATATCTGATATAGACTAGATTTAGTAAAATATATCTTAAACTGCATTTACTTAAATTTTTAAATGCGAAACAGTTCATTTGTGGATTTTTGATTCTTTAACTGGTTTAATGTATACTCATAATAAAGATAAAAAACTAATCAAGTCTTTACCTGCTAAAGGTATTTTTTAAGACGTTATAAGGGGTAAATTACCTATAAATATGAAAAGTTAACTCACTTCTAGATATATGTATGTATAGGTCAACCCTTAGAGTACATATGAGGCTAATTCAATTAATAATTCATAAAATTTGCAATATTTTACGGCCTAAACTACATTTTGTGTTCCTATTATATTAAACTAATAGACTGTATGTGGTATATTAGAAATATCTAATAGCAAGAGTGAAGAATTCATTTAAGACGAGGAGTTACTTGGGGTACTTTTTGCCAATTACCTAAACGAAATAATTCGCAAAATAAAAGAAACTCGGGAAAACTAAGTCTAAATAAAATATAATTCTTATATAATAGAGGCTTTTTGGGACCTAAAAAGTTCCCAAAGCCTACTGAACTTAGAAAAAAAGGTGAAAACCTATATGGAAAGTACTTTTTGTGTATAGAAATATGCTTTTTTTTTGTTTCTAAAACTTAAATTTTCTCATATTTAAAAAATAAATTTTTCCCTAAAAATTAAGGTGCTTTATAATAATGCATTTTTAATAAAAAAATAGAAATTATCACAGAAATCTCAAAAAATGACTTTTTTGATCCAAACATAGATATTGATAGTATTTTGCCAGTTTTAGTGATTCCTTTATGTACTAAAGATGATAAAATGGATGTTTTAGGCATTTTAGAGGTTCCATTAAAAAAAAGAAGCAAAATAAGTGGAGATAAAGATAAATTATTATTAAATTCAAGCCCAAATATAGGTATAGACTAATGTTTTGAAAAACAAATTGAAGCTTTTTCTACTGTTTTATCTATGGCTATTTTTTATATATAAAAATGTTGTATATAATAATAAAATTAATGATTATAAAATCAAATATATATATATTTATTTATTTATTTCATAAATAAAATTAAAAAAAAATTTTTTTTTTTTTTTTTGTTTTTAAAAAAAAAAAAACAAAACAAAACAAAAATGGAAGGAATTTTATAAAATCTACCTATAATAGATTTCGTTAAACTTTCATATACTACAATTGCTATATATAATGAAAATACTATCCTCATATATAATATAAAAACTAATAAATTAATAAAAAGGATCAAATTCACATAAATTATTACTTGCTTATTTAATTCTAGTTTAAAAATTTTCTTTATAGGACAATAAGATGGTACTATTAGTATTTGGAAAGATTTTGAAAATATTAAAATAACCAAGATTTTTTAAGAAAAAGAATAATAAAAACCTACTATATATATTAAGGTTATTGTATATAATTTTAAAAATTAGAAGACAATTGTACTATTTAGTGGTCATGAAGGAGAATTAATTAAATAATGGAATTTTTTAAATGGAAGATGTATAAGACATATTGAAGGGAAAATTAATTATGATTTTTTTTTAGGTAATTAATAAGAAAATTCAATTGATGAATATTAATAATAAAGAATAAATGGTAATAATTATATTAATTATGTTTTTTTAATATTTGTTTTTTTATTTTAATATTTTTAGATAATGAAATAAATTTAAAAAGAAAAAGAAAAGTATTGAAAACTACACGTTATTTTAAAATTATAAATATGAAAAATGATTAGATTACTGATAAAAATAACAAATAGATGAATATATATAAAAATAAAAAATAAACATAATAAAAAACTCATTAATGAAAATTATTGATTTTATATAAAAACTAAAAACTAATAACTAAAAATAGAAAAAATATTTAAATATAATGATATTTAAATATATTAAATATATAAAAATATTTAAATATAAATATATATAAATATATTTATATATATATATATATATATATATATATAGATATATATATTAAAATAATATATAATACTTTACTTTTACTTTCTATTTTTTATTATATATTCAGTAAATTGAATTTTTTTTTATATAAAATTTATATTTTAAAATATATTTTTTTTAATTTTCCATCTAGAAATTAATTTCTCATAATTAATATATTATTATTTAATTAAAAATTATATAATTAGATTTTTATTGTATAATTAAAAAATAACTTCAAATATCAATTTTATATACAAAATAAACAAAATTAAGAAAAAAACAAAATAAAATTTTACTAAAAAAATTAAAAAAATACATAAACACACATATAAATATAAAAAAACTTATATATATATAATACAAAAATCTATACATAATTATATTAAAATAATCAAAAAAATACATGAAAATAAACATTTACAATTAACAGGAATAAATCCAACAACAATTTCCAATAGGTTCAATAATTCAATAAAAATACCGTATAGATGAAAAGCTAGGTAATGGTTCATTTGGTACCATATACCGTATATAAAACATTGAAACATAAGAAACATTAGCCATGAAACTTGAAAAAAGGCAATAAAATCAGTCCAGTATGTTAGTTCGCGAAATAAAAGTAATGCAAGAATTAAAATTAGAAAAGGGTTTTCCCCGTTTATAATTTTATAGTAAAGAATATGACTATAATTTTATAATAATGACCTATTTAGGTAAAAACCTTGATATTCTATTAAGGAAATGCGGTGGAGTTTTTTCCCTTTAAACTGTTTTAAATATCGCTGATTAATCACTTTCCCGTTTTGAGTCTCTACACTCTAAAAACCTCCTCCATAGAGATATTAAGCCTGATAATTTTGTTATTGGAGTCAAAGAAAACTACAATGTAATCCATTTAATAGATTTCGGCTTAGCAAAGTACTACCAAAATGCCAATAAGCAGCATATTAAATTAACTGAAAATAAAGGTATGATTGGAACAGCTAGATATGCCTCTTTAAATGCCCATTTAGGCTTGGAATAATCACGAAGGGATGACTTAGAATCTTTGGGGTATATTCTAGTCTATTTTTTAAAGGGAGAGTTGCCTTGGTAGAACATAAGAAGCGAAAGTAAGGAAAAAAAATACGAGTTAATCAAATAAATGAAATCTTCGATTAGTGTAGATATTTTATGTGAGAATCTTCCTTAGGAATTTTCGTAATTTTTTAAATACGTAAAAAATTTAAAATTCGAAGAAGAACCGAATTATGCCTTTTTAAAAAGCCTTTTCAAAAAAATCCATTTAGAAAAAAAATACAACTCAAGTTCCGTAGACTGGGAAATTCTTCCCGAGTACAGACATAAAAGATAGAGTTAATAACTAATAATTAACAAAATAAGTCTATAAAATAAAAATAATAGGAAATCATTTGAGATATCTAATAAAAAATAAGATTAATACTCCTTAAATTTCCTAAATATGGAAGGATATTAAATTACTTAGAATTTTTTAAACGTAAACAGTATGTAAAGTTGCATAAATACAACCGTAAACTCCATATGTAATTCCTCAAAAATGAATAATTATAATTATTCGTAAACTGATGAAATAAATGATGAAGAAAGTATCTAAATTACCGATGTTATTAATAAAAATATTCGCGAAAAAAGTACTCATATAATTTTTCAAGAAATAAGGATTAAAAGTGCCATTATTAATGAAAAAACTTAATTCGAATGTAAAAAAAGTCTTAAATATTATAATGATGATTAAATTTAGAAAAACTAAACATTTTAAATAGAAAATAAGATAAATTGAAACAATAAACAAAATTTGTATATTAATTAGTTTATATATATTTTTTTTTAATTTATATATAAAAATATATATATATATTTATATATATATATATATTTATATATATATATATTTATATATTTATATATTTATATATTTATATATTTATATTATATTGTTTAAATGTAACAAAAAATTCTTTATTTATTTATTTATTTCTTTGTTTTTTTTTTTAACTAAAATAAAAATAAAAAAATGTCTCTTTTATTATATTTATTTTTTTCCTTTGTTTTTACTTCTTATCCAGTTGCATTATTCCATGGAATGGGCGATTAATGTATAAATCCTGGTTTGAGATCATTTACATAATAAATTTAAACCTAATTACCTAATACTTACGTAAAATGTATTGAAATTGCTTACGGTGCCAGCTCTAGTATATTAATGAGTTTTGATAAATAACTTACAGAGGCCTGTAATTTAATCAAATCTGATTAAAAATTTTAAAATTAGACAATAAGTACTTTAGGATTATCCCAAGGAGGTCTTTTAGCAAGAGGAATAGCCCAAAAATGTGATTTTGGTGGAAAAGTAGCCAGAATAATATCTATAGGAGGTCCTTAAATGGGTGTAGCGACCATACCAAGGTGTCATTCAAGTATTTTTTGTAAAATAATAAACTTAGTCATAAAAAAGGTTATATATACAAAAGAAATTCAAGAAAAGATAGGCCCAGCAGGTTATTTTAAGGACCCTTAAAATTATGAAAAATACTTAAAAAATTCAATATTTTTACCTGATTTAAATAACGAAAGAAATTTCGATTTAAAATAAAAGGAAAATATCTTAAATATAGAAAAATTACAACTTACAATGTTTTCGAAAGATAAGATAATAGATCCGAAAGAAACATCTTTTTTTGCCTTTTATGCAAAAGATGGTAAAACTTTAATAAATATGAAAGATTCTATATTATATAAGAATGATCTTATAGGATTATAATAATTAGATAAAGAGGGAAAAATTGAATTTGTAACAATAAATGGAGATCATTTAAAATTTACTAAAGATGATATTATCAAATATTATATACCAGCCTTAAAGTGATAATTATTAAATGATATATATATATATATATATATAATATATATATATATATATATATAATTGATATTTATAAATGTTTTACTTATTTGTAATATAGTTTTAAATTAATATATATTGTTTTTTTATATTTATATATATTTAATAGATTTTATTTTTTTTAATATATATTTATTTTTTCATATTAATAATTTGTTGTATTTGATATTAGTATATTAATATATTTATGATTATTTTATTTTTAAAAATTAATTTTTTCATTAATAAAAAAAAATGTTTAGAATTTAGTTATAAAATTTTATCAAGTTATTTTTGATAGATAATCAAACATATTATTATTTTCTATTTTATTACAAGTATTTTTTAAATTTTACTTACTAGTTTTCTTTAACAAAAAAATTTAAATAAAATAAAATATAATTAAAAAACTAATTTGAATATAATGTAAATCATTCTATTTTATTTATCTTAAATAAATATTATTTAAAAAAAAAAAATATTAAAATAAATAAAATAAAGCATATATAGAAAAAATGATTAGATATATATATATATATAAATATAAATATATATATAGATATATATATATATATATATATATATATATATAATATTTAATATATATATATATTTATTTATTTATTATTATTATTTATAGTTTAACTAAAAAAATATTATTTTTTTATGAAAACAAATAAATTAAATATTTAATTTAAATATTTTTTTAATTTTAATACAAATAAAATTTTATATTTTTTTTTAAATTAAACATTTATAAACTTCTAAACTATTATTTTAAATTAATTATATTTATGTACTTTAACTTAAAAAAAGTAAATGTTATTCTTATATATAAAAAATCATAATAAAACTTTCTTTAAAACATGCTCAAGCTCCTTTTATTTTATAGGCTTCGTAATATAATACTACATTCCAGCTTTTAAGGCATTTTATTTATCAACTTCACCTACAAAAGCAGTACAAGCACAAATAATAGGCATATTTTATTTATCTTCTTTATAAAATTAGACTAATTCTTCAGTTGTCTATATTCCGTTTTTCAAAGGCATATCAATATCCATAAAAACAAGTAAATAATTTCTACAACAACTCCCTTCTTTATATTTCTATTATATTTTTTCTAAACATTAAAATCCACTAATAGCAATATCACATTTAAGCCCATATTATTCCAATTTTAATTTAAGTACATAACAATTAAATTAGATATCATCTACAATTAAAATACTATTACATTATAAACAAAAATCCTCTTAATTAAATATATTTTAATAATCACTCAATTTTTTATTATTTATAAATATATTAAAATTAGTAATATCATTTACAGATATACTTTCATCATTACTACTTGAACTAACACATGTCTGATCTTATTAAAAATTATACATATCAATCTATTTAATATTATAAATCCGATTATTAAAACTAATAGTACTAGTTAAATTATTTAATTGATTATTCTATTTAATCTTTTATATACTTATATTAGATTCAGATTAGTGGACAATAACTTTGTCTAATGACAAATTGTTTTAATTTTATAAACCATATTGTAATAGATTTATAGATTTTATTGATTATTAAGTAATATTTGCTTATATATCTGATTAAATAACATTATGCCATTATTGATATTCTTTATTAAATATCATTTTTTCATTATATTTAAATCCTTTTATATTTTTAGGATTATTAATAACATAAAAACTAAAACAAGAACCTTTATTTATTTCACTTAAAATCTCTATTTATCTCCCCTAACCTAATCCTTTTGCTAAAATATTACTTATACTTAACCCTAATCCTGCATTGCATGTATTTAGAATCTTCTAGTAATGAAAATTACCAAAGGCATGTAGAATTTTACTTAAATTTTCTATTGAAATACCACATCCCGTATCTTAAATTTAAATCTAAACAATATTTTCATGAATTAATTTTACTTTTATTTATATAAACCCTTAATTAGTAAATCTTATAGCATTATTTACTAAATTTAAAAACACTTATTATACTCTAGCGGGATCCGAGTTTAATTCTATAGGAAGAAAATTATCATATTCAGTCTTTAAGTCTAATCCTTTTTAAAAAGTAACAAATTTTACCAAATTAATACATTCCTAAATAATCTTTTAAATAGAAAAATTTTAAAACCTCATCTAGAATTTCCCTAAACAAATCTAAGCATAATCTAAGCAATCATTAATTACATTTAATAATAGTTTATTAGAATTATAGGCAGGTTCTATTATTGATTTAGATATTT